GGTAAAAACTATAATTGCATCAGTCTTTGATAATTACAACCAGCAAGCAGGCCTAATTCGGACTTCTTATCTGAAAATATGTGATAAATCAGCCTGCCTTAATGTTTAAGTTTAATTCAGACCTAATCAGTACGTGTAAGACAAGCTAAGTTATATGATTTTCTCTAATTTAAGGAGGTTTATTTGAGTCATATCTGCTTACTTGCTTTCCCAATACTTGTTGTATATGTTTTCAGTGTCGCCTTAGAATTTTATCCTTTTAAAAAAAACTGCAAAAGCCCCAGCTACCTCCCCTTTAGTATTAGTAGTCCCATATGCCTCCGAGACTGATAGGATTGGGACGGGTAATAGCATGCAATAAGTAACGATACTATTCCGCGCTTTAATACCTTAACGGGGTGGGAAGGGTAGATATGAAGGTGATGACCGATGCACTAATATCACATGCGACCCCTCTTTTTTGAGGAGTGATTGCTGGATATTGCATTGAAGTGATCCATATTAATCGTAAACTTAGGACCCCCCTCCACTTATTTACTTTCATCTCTTCTCGTGAAACCATTCAAATCTTTTTTTCATAAATTTCTGTCCTCTCTACTTACTTTCAAAAGTTTTCAACCTAATTGCAATATTGTATGCAAGTCCTTATTTGAGCCTTGATTGTTTACTTGTAAAGTCACAATTGTAACATGGTCGGGACCACACTAGTGGATCTTGAGGGGTGCCTAACACCTTCCCCTCGAGATAATTTCTAGCCCTTACCCGAACTCTGATTTTTTCCAACTCAAACCTTTCTTAAAGTGTCCTAATGCATTATAATCATTAGGTGGTGACTCTTCAAAATTACAAAACCCAATTCTCGAAAGGGAATAGAGTTGTCCTCCTAATGTCATATACCCGATTTCGACCCATAGAAAAAGGGGGCGTCGACAGTCGTACTCAACATTTAACACATAGCACGTAAGACACAACTTCTAATCCCTCAAGCTAAGGTTAGACCAAACACTTACCTCAATGCCATGAACACAATTCAAGCCTCAACTACCGCTTTACCTCTTGTTTCCACCACCAATTCACTTGTATCTAGCTACAAGTTACTTAACGATATCAATAAATGCTAAATGAATCAATTCTAATGCATGAAAATAGGTTTTCTAATGATTTCCCCAAAAAGTAAAAAATTGACCTCAGACCCACATGGTCAAAACCCAAGGTTAGAACCAAAACCTGATTACCCATTCACCCATGAACTCAAATATATAATTTATTTTGAAATCGGACCTCAAATCGAGGTCCAAATCCCCAAAATTTGAAAATCCTAAGTTCTACCGAAAACACCCAATTTCCCATGAAAACCCCTTGATTTTGAAATGAAATTATGTAAAAAGGTGGATTAGATTGAAAGAAATGAGTTAGAAATGACTTACTAATGATTTGGAAGAGTAGGTGCCTTTGAAAAATCGCCCAAAGATGTTTTAGGTTTTGAAGTGTTGTAAAAATAGTTGAAATCCCGTCTGAAATTCATTTAACAGATCTCTGATGTCGCAATTGCGACCAGGGTTCGTAATTGCGAACACTTAAGGACCATGCTACCTTCGCATTTGCGAGGTATATGTCGCATTTGCGACTCCTGCTTCCTTCGCATTTGCGAAGGAATCATCGCATTTGCGACTTCTAGGCATGTGCTGAAGACTTCGCATTTGCGAAGTATACTTCGCATTTGCGAGGCAAGGCTGGCCCTGGGTTCTTCACATTTACGACAAAAGTCTCGCATTTGTGACCCCTGCTTACATCGCAATTGCGATGCCTGATCGTGCATTTGCGAGATCAGAGGCCTGCTACACATCTGCAACACACCAGCAATTCTCCTAAGTCCAATTTCACTTTGTGGCCTATCCAAAACTCACCCGAGCCCTCGGGGCTCCAAACCAAACATGCACCCTAACCTAAAAATATCATACGGATTTGCTCGCGCGATCAAATTGCCAAAATAACACATCGAACTACGAGTTTAGCATCAAAGTCAAAGAAAACCTCAAGAACACTTAAGTTTCAAATTTCACAACCGAGGGTCCGATTCACGTCATATGAAGTCCGTTTTTTACCAAATTTTACAAGCACCACTTAGATACCATATAAGACATGTACCGGGTTTCGAAACCACAAATATGGGCCCTATACCATCAAATTCAAACACATTTAAATTTTCACAAACTATTAAAATGTCAATTAAACAATTTTCTTCAAAAATTTATTTCTCGGGATTGGGACCTCGGAATTTAATTCGGGGCATATGCCCAAGTCCCATATTTTCCTACGGATCCTCCGGGATAGTCAAATCACGGGTCCGGATCCGTTTACCCAAAATATTGACCGAAGTCAACTTAAATTAAATTTTAAAGGCCAAATTAGCATTTTCATCAAATTTCCACATAAAAGCGTTCTGGATATACACCGGGACCGCGCACACAAATCGAGGTGAGAAAAAAGAAGGCTTCTAAGGGCTCGGAACACAGAATTTACTTGTAAATCAAGTGATGACCTTTTGAGTCATCACACTCTGTCAGTTCAACTGAAAGTTAGGATCACATACACTATGGAAGAGACCTAACAAAGAAACCTACAAATATCGGAGAAAAGTAATATCAAATTACATATATTATTTGAGTTAATAAAATTAATCTCTTTAACAATAACCTGACCATAAAAAAAAAAAAGAAGATAAAACATGTCTACACAATGCGGTGCTAGAGTCTGTCGACCGAAGAAGTTAAATAACTCAAATAATTAATTCGGACATCTCCAGCTCAAATTATCCCGACAACGAGGGAAACGAGAGATGCAACATTATATGTATGCCCATGTGAGTTATCAGAGTTGTACGAGCTGGGTACACATATAACACCTCATTTCTAGCTCTGCTCATTGTCGGAGTTATACGAGCTGGGGTTGCCAGAATTACTTATTTGAGTTACAGCGTCTTCGAGCGGCAAACTCTAGTCTCCACATGTGTAGACATGGTTTTGGCACAGATAATTCTTCATTTCTTTTCTTGGTCAGATTAATCTTGAAGAGGTCAATTTAATTAATTAAAATAATATGCGTAACCTAATATTACTTTTCTTCAATATTTTTAAATTTCTTTATTAGGTCTCTTAGCTTCTTTGGTATAAGAGATTCTAACTTTCAACTGAGTTGACAAAGTGCCTATGATAGCATATTATTTGTCATCTCCTTTATAGGCTTTTATTCATTGTTCTGTGGGCCTTGTGGTTGGATAAAAGAATTGTACTTGGATGAAATCAGAGTACTATGTTCATCTTGGGAGATGAACATGATTTTAGTCATGAATCCAACAATTTTGTATTTTTTGTGCTATAGAAGCTTGAGTATTCACTCCGTTTGCTCCTATTGCTTTATGTATAAGAGTTATTATCTACAATTTTTATTAGGGATAGAACAAATGAGGTATCGTTAGAAGAAGCGCTTTGGAGGCAACACTGGGTTTGGACGAGAATTTTTTCCTGAAGTTGTCAATGCTGAAATGGTGTAGAGTTATTTAGCTATTGTAACACTATATTTTTCATTTCTTCACGTGTTTCTTCTTTTAATGATGATTATTACTTTATATGTCTTCTGTTACATGATGAGTGTCATGTAAATGCTTCATGAGTAGTAAAATGATCTTGAATAAAATCATTGCACCGAATAACATGAATTTATAGAGATATGAAAAGAATAATGCATGTATCATGCTCACATGATGAGTGTCAACAAACTCAAATGTGAAAGGTGAACCCATGTCTTAACCAGAAATTAACCAAAGGAGATATTTTCTTCACAAACGACCAATGACTGCTGCTAGGATAATTAGTTTCAAGTCTTAACCAGGAAACAACGTGGAATATTTGACTGAGTTTTAATGCATGTAACATGGACTTCAACATGGAACAAGGGGCGGCTCTTGGCTCAAGAACGTTAGAGACCTAAAGCAATTTTTTTAGGCTTTAAACTTTTAAAAAAGAACATATAGAATAACCCGTTTCATATGTCAAACTATAGTTGACATATGTGAATTCTTATAAATAATGAAAAAAGCAATATACTACTATGAGGTAAAATTATAAAAATAATAAATTTTAGAACAATAATAGGAAATTAGAACAATAAAATCTAATTCATAGAGTAATTTCTTTGCTTAATTTGTCTACTACTAAGGCATAGAGTAACGAAAATTGAATTAGTTGAAGCAATAAATAAATTTGATGATGTAATAGAATTGAAATACTTTAATTTAAATGACTCGAAAAGAATCTTTTACTAATTTTGTCAAAACAATATTTTAACTCCTACTACATTTTACAATATTTCAACTAATTCAATTTTCGTTACAATTGATAGGTCAAAATCAGATAGTATTTATTAAGTTAAAAAACGATAATAATTTGGTTTGATATTGAACTAAACTGAACCAAACTGACAAATATTTATAATAATATTTTTTTCCATAACAGATATTTGTAAGATTTCTCTATTTTATTCATAATTTTGGATCAATCATGTATTCTTCCATTAGTTTTTCTTTTTGCTACACAGCCCAAGTTCAACATCAATCAATTAAAAGAACATGCATAATAAGGGAATCATGTATGGAAAAGAATATATGTGCAACGTCCAAACTAGGAAGAATTTTTATCATATCGTATGAATTGATTTGCATATATATATATATATATATATATATCCATCTTAAACTTGTACTATAAAAGGATACTTGCACAACAAATGAAATGCTTGTTTCCAATGGCTGTGAGAGTGACAACAATTTGTTTTTCTCGTTTAGTTTCGATTGTCATTCTTTATAATATGGTCGAGAGCTACTAGTCAGCTAGAAGATCAAACATTACAATTGAGGTATAATTTCTATAGGTTTGGTATATTTGGACATTTCAATTTTACAAAAATGTAAGCTTTTATGTGATAAATTTGAATTTTTGTAGACTATTCATGGAGATCTTTGTGATTGTGTGGACATCTACCAGCAACCAACTCTTTTGCATCCAAAATTGGGCCTAGAAAGAATTAAGGTGAATGAAGTTTTGTAATAACACATCTTCGTAAACAATGTATAACTTTATCTTATCTTTAATTTTTAATATTCATAGCATTTCCTTGTAAATTTTCATATTCTGATTTTTTCATTTTGTTTACTACACTATATGCAAAACAGATGATCATCGCGAAGGAGCTTGAAAGACAAAAGGAAGGAAAATCGGGAGGTTTCAAGGCTGGGGAATATTGGTTGAATAAGGAAGGATGCCAATTGGAACTGTGCCTATACGCAAAATGACAAAGAAACAACTCCAGAAAGAATTGATTCCAAGTTCATTGTATGAAGCTCGAGAAAAGAGAAAGAATCCTGGTTGGATAAGAAAAGATATGTGGATAAAATTTTTAGCAATATGGGATAGTCCTGAATTTAAGGAGAAGAGCGAACGAGCAAAGGCAGCCGAGCCTCTCAAAAGGGTGGCTCGTTGCACACCGGTGGATCTATGAGTTTGCTGCGCATCGATAGAGATTGGTAATGTTCACCAGAAAGCTTAATTTTTCACTTATTTTTCCTATGTCATCCTCTTCTTTAAATGAACATGAAAGAGATAAAAATGACAAAAATATGAAAGCATACTTTAAATGCATACCTTGAGTTGGTGAGAGAGTGCAGTGGTCAAATTAGCAGTAAAAATCTTGAAGACTGACATTGCTGTTGGTTAAGCCCAGGAAGTAGTTGAGTGAGTAGTCATTTCCTCCACTTCCCACCACAAACAAGTAATCCTTCAGTGATTCCTTGCTTTTGCAACCTAGCTGCTCCTCCAACTCTGCCAATGCCACATTCTCAAAGTTCCTGATTTGTTTATTTAAACTAATCACCTCCCCCTGAAATATTAATTTAGAAGAAAACTGTTACTAGCTATTTGTTTCGTCTCATTTTACATGATATTATTAGTTCTATCATTTAAAGAGTCATATTATTCTTTTATTACGATTTTTATTAAGACATTTGTTGCCTTTTCTTATGAACTCATTGAAGCCAAAAGGGAATATTCATTTTTGGTGAGGCAAACCTCTCACAATCACATTCTTGCCCAATTATAGTTAGTCGAAGAATTTGGTAACATTTAAGAAAAATGTGATTGTGAGAGGTCAGGATTTTGGTAACATATTAGGATTACTAATTGAAATGGAGAAAGAGAGTAAAGGGCATAGTATCAGATTAAGAGACCATATATAGTAGATGAAAGTTTCAAATTCAGGGGTTATATCCCTTTAATTCATTTATAATATAAGCACATTTATGCTCTAACATTTCATGAAAATTCTTTTAATTGTGTCATTTTCAGTTGCTATGTGTAGGGTTCCAAACCCTATCTACTAATAGAAACAAAAGAGAAAGTCAAACCTTACTTTCAACAAGTTGCTTGCTTTTTGTCAATCATTCTGCACTGATGAATATGAAAAACAAATTGAGATAGATTATTAATGATGGAAGTAGGTTTAGGACATAGTATGTTTGGCCGAGGTGGATCCAGGATTCGGCGGGGTCACGGGCACCATAATATTCAATATGAATTTATCACTGCTCATTCGGAAATTTAAGGGCTGCCACGCCCTCCTGAACATATGGGCAGGCAGCAAATACACTAATCCAAAAGAATCTGATATTCTGCACCGGCTCTAATCAAGAAATTTAATGATAAGAGTATATGAAAATTCTGATTTAATCAATATGGTAAGGATGTTGAAGTTTGGCAAATTTGTCCCACATCGGTGGGCTCTTGAAATTTGGGGGGATTTTCCCCCTATAAAAGAAGGCCTAATGTTTAGGAT